ATTCTACTGTACATGTTAGCAGCATATTATTCTACTGTACATGTTAGCAGTAAATGATTCTACTGACAGTAGACACACACTCATATGCTGTTTCTCTGAATGGTAACTGCGGCCTGTTCCTTTATGAAAGTTACTTTGGCATTTCCTTATCAGGAGTGCATTCAGACTCCCCCTCCCAGCACATCTGCACCTCCAGGTACCAAGCGGTGAAATCCATGTGTAATTGCAGCCTAGATATTTTCCATCAAAACAAATCAAAACACTTTAGAAAGCATTTTTTTAAAGGAACGTCTACTGGCTTTGTGTGTGTTGACATTCTGTCCGATTTCTGTAGCCGAGCCACCTACCTCTTTCAGTCACCAGCTGCACCGGTGATGTATTCACCCTTGCGGAAATTGCGTTAGCTGAACCCTGTAATACTGGCCAGATTCCTGTGCAAGATCCAACAGCCAAAATCAAAGCCCATAAAAGCCTAGGAACAACTATACGCAAGTTTTTTTTATATGATTAGTGGTGAGAAATGACATCTGTGAAATATGCAATATGAAAGCAGAGCAGTTTGTACTTTTCGTCATAAATGCATGGAGATTATGCAAAGACTGTTATATTGTCAGTGGTTGTTTAGTTGTACTGTATTGCCCTCAGGGAACCAAAGAAGGTTTAGTTTGATGTAGTTGCCAGGATATGTGCATAGTGCCACTGAACTGTTTGAAAGTGAATGTCTTGGAGGTCTCAGAATGGGGTGACTGGGCTTAAAGGGTGTGCCTCATTCAGTCACCAAATTAAAGATTCTCCAATTGCGAGAGGTTAAGTGGGAGAATGAGAGGGGGAAAGTTGAAAAAGCTGTGGTTCCTTAAGTTGTTTTATCCTGCTGAAGAGAGGAAGTGTGCTGGTTATGGAAGGATTAGCAGTGGAGGATATTATTCCTTGGCATGGTAAGGTTTGTCACCACATTAAATCACATGCCAAAGTACAGTGACTGCAGAAAGTCAGGCTGTGGGTTTGATGTTTCCTTTGCCTCAAGGGAAAGTGCGTAATGTATGAGCTGTGAGACTTTCTTACAGTTTTTGTCAGTGGTTAAGATTTTACTTGAAAACATTTTAAGTTGTATCTGCCTGTGATATTTTGCAGAAGCTTTAAAAATGTGAATGGCACAAATGACGCATAACTAGAGTAAAGTATTTTTAGTAATAAACACAAAAATATATATTTATATATATATTATTTGATTATCTTCATCCATGAGTTGGGATTTCGAAGGTTCCATTCACATGTATGTGGACTTTAGCCGTAAGTTATAGCAGGTATAGCTCCTGAGAGGAAAGGTCAACAATGCAGCGTTTTGTCATACACTAGTCCTCTCGTCTCTGCCTTTGGGCTGCGGATCTCACAAAGGTTTGATCTGACCACAAGTCTTAAATGTAAGGACTCTACTTCCTGTGGTTGCTGCTTATACGTGAGCAAGGGCATGAAGGCTGCTTAGAGGCGCAGGGCTGCGGTATGTTAATAGTCATTAAGGACCAGCAAGATATAGCATCAAACTCCATTGACCCTTTCCCCACAGCGGCAGAAATACATCACACACATGATGTCATCACAAATTGCCAGTGGCCTGGATGTTTCCAAACCTGGTAATCACCCCACTGTGGGCAGTCACGTCTCCTCAGACCCTCTGTGTTGAACAAACATGTCTTCTTTAGCACCAATATTTCTCTCATTTTGTCTGTTTACTGGATGGAAAATTTGAGTTGTGCTGTGGTTTTAGTGTTCTAAGCTTGTACATCCGTGCATAACTCTTTTGACCTTTACACGTAATCCACTAAGCGTTTGTGTTTGAGAATGTTTTTCTCCAAAAAACTGAAATCCAGGTGTAAAGTATTGTAATAGTTTTCTGAGAGCATGGTGCAACCCCCACCCCGCTGTGCGGCGGAAGCAGACATGTTTAGACTGAGGGGTGTGAGGACGCCGGACAGACACTTGAGCTAATGTGAGCCGTCAGGGCTGTCCACTGCTGCTGCGGGACATGAGGTGTGAGAGAAGTGTCCTGGGCCAGCAGATGAGGATACACTGTACAAGGAAAACATGCCTCTGACAGTTTGGCCTTGAGCCGTGCACTGCTCAACAAGACCAGGAAGCTGCCGTTCTGTAGGGAGGGATAAATCTTGGAGACGCTAACAGTATACAGTAGTCGCTTTCTTGTTGTTATAAGCCTTTTGGGACGAGAGATAAAGCAATCAACATTGTACTTCTCCCTGTCAAGGCCTGTCTAAATTACTATATCGACTGTTCAATAATGGTATTATTTTTGGGAGCCTGTACATGTTTCTTGATATTTACTGAGGTCTATTGGGATTGATTTTTTATATTAGGAGCATACAATAGTTTCAGTGTGAAGGTTTATTGCATTAGAAATGCCTGAGAGTAAAATGTTTACATCCAATTTCCCAAATGAGAGTTTATGAAAGGCTGTAAACTTTCATTTCAGAAAAGCCGTTTGTTCCTCAAGTGAGGCCAAATTTATTAGATGCAGATGAATATTTTCTGTTATTAGAAAAACCCAACCCACCAGGTCCTTCTGCTGATTGACTTCTCTCTGGTTGGAATTAACACATTTTTTACATTACTGTTCACATTTTTTAAAACTGGAAACATATATAAAAAATGATATAGGTTCCTAATTATTAGTGTACTGTAGACTAACCTTTTAAACAATACATGCATAGGTTTGGGCCTCGGATCATTTTATTGTGGTTTAGCCATCTCTGATTTGGAGTTCATTTCATATGGTGTGTGGAAACACCTGCGCCTCTTGGGGCTAAGGGCTTGTCTGACATGTTTGTGGTGCAGTCTCTTTGTGTCACAGGGTGCGATGGCTACTCACTTCCTCTAAAGGAAGTTATAAAGAGTCTTAAGTACTATGGTCCTTGCCTAATGACTACCATATATTGTGAAGAAAGTAGATGCAAAAATGTGGCAAAGCCTGGGCCCCTATGGCTGAACTGAAATTATAGATGGTCTATAAGGAATGAAAATGTGAAATAAAGAGGTGGAATAGTTGGTGTGGGTGTTTCACAGAGACAGCCAGCTGCTCTCTTTGAGCATGAGATAAAGAGCTTTTACAGAGAAGGGCTGGGCTGGCTCAGAGGCAGAGGTCTGAGCAAAGGGATTGTGTCTACACCTGTGCAGAGAGAGTGAACTGCAGGCGCACCACAAGCTTTTAGAGGACATGAGACTGGTGTTACATACTGTTTAAATACATCTTTGAAAATGTGTGGGTGTAGATATGTCATACTAACAGTTTTGTATTGCCCTCTGCAGTTCATACTGGTTGTCTGCAGTCTGCCACCTCGCCACTCACTGATCATTGCGTGGTGATTACACCAGTTCGGCGACAAGTGTGAACTGAGTGTTGCCACGCCGATGACTGCCAAAAGCTTTAGCCACCAACAACCTTAAAATGTATGCACTGTCAACGCATGCAGCGCCATGTTGTAAAAAGTAATCCTGATGAAAGGCCTGATAGATGAGACGCCCACCTCACAAGCTGGGCACAAGTGTGGACAGAAAGTGGGATGGAGTAGAAAGGATCGGGTGATGCAGAGCGTAAGTGGGACAAGTTGATAATGAGTTGCAGTGCTGTTATGAGGTACTGGCCTTGAACTGCATTGTTTCCTATAGGAGAGTGTTTAAACCATATGTGTGCCTGGAGAAGAGGAAGGACAATAGAGAGCCCAAAGCCAGGCCGCTTAATGACCAGCAGAGAGCAGAGCGGTCCCTCTCTCAACAGTAATTAGATCCTTCTTTACTCCGGCTCTGGCCAATCAGCTCACAGTGCAGCCTTTGTACCCGATATTTCACCAACTGGCTTTAATAGAGATTCAGAGTCTGTGTGCAAAGCAAGAGCCCAAAGCCACGCCGAGAAAGTGGCAGGTGGAGAGTAGGAAGTCTCACTGTTCTTTCGCACCTACCTCACCGCACCTGCAGTGAACTCGGAAACGAATGAAATGAAATGACATGAATACTGTATTTAGGTGTGTTCCTGCTTATTAATATCATAGGATGCCAGTTAGAAGAAAGTTACTCTGATGTTTTTTACTCTTTTTTTCTTTTAAGTCAACATCCTGCCAAATTAATTCAGTCAAATCTAAAAATGTTTTGTCATTTTTATATTCAGTAGTATTTATGTAGCTGTAGAAAACAATATCCTCTCTTCTTCAGGTCAAATGTATAACTTAAAATATAATCACATACAAATAGTTTTCCTCTACATCCTACATCCGAGGCCAATCTACATGAGATGTTTGTGCAGACCCACCATAGTTTCCTCAGGCTTGGACCAGCAGAACGAGTGCACTGTCTGGTGACACTGATTGTGTATTTAAATGCATTAAATCAAAGGTGTTTATTTAATACAAGTTCACTCATGTGTTTGTTTATACGTGTGGGGTCTGTCTGACAGTTGATAAAGAGTCAGCCCGAGGAAGAAGCAGGACACGATGAGAGACGAGGCCCTGACCCCTCGGATGTCCTGTTGAGACATGAGAGCTTTAGGGTCAAGGGGGCCAGGTCTGGGGGTGCGGAGACACTCCACTCATGAGAACCAGATGAAGGGCAGCTTTGACGACTCTCTGGAGCGTCCAGAGGAAAAGAAGTTGAAGAAAAAGAGGTCGTAAAGCTGTCAGAACGGGCCCATGTCTCTCTATCATGGTGCTGTGCACACCAGCTGCATTTCTGCATGTTTTTATGAACGCTTCTACCATGAGCCAACATATGTATTGCATATATGTAAGTTTGGGACAAACCCAACTAGTTTTGTCAGCCTTCTGCTAACAAGTGATGGAGTGTGGCAGAAAATATACAGTAGAAATTTAATATGGCAGCTGCAAAAGTTTATTTCTATATAAAATGGAACCTAATATGCCTTTTATGGTTTTACCTCCCTGTGACCTCTGTAAAGTGTCCCATGCAAACATCTCCTGATATTATTTTTCATTTTGTAGTGGAACAAGACAAAGAGTTCTTCCCTCTTCGGCGGCATCATAAGGAGTTCCGTTTTGATCTATCGAAGATCCCAGAAGGCGAAGCCGTTACTGCAGCTGAGTTCAGGATCTATAAAGACTTCATCCATGAACGATTCGACAACGAAACCTTCCGCATCAGCGTGTATCAGGTGCTGGAGGAGCACGCCGACAGGTGAAATATACACACACATATTTATTATACATACTATGATATTCAAACTTTCTATTACTACTTTTCCCTTTCAGCCAACCTCATGCTCCTCTTTTCAGTTTATTCTTCAGCTATGAACAATTTTGATGCATATGAAAAATATTGTTTGCAATCAGAAAACATTTTTGTCCACCTTGTCTAATGCTGTTCAGAAAGTGTCCACATTGTTTTACTGAAGGTTTCTGATGTCCAAAGGGAACAACAAGTCATTTATTCCTTTGCCAGGGACAGGCTTTGGACACACAACCAAACCAGAGCTCTCTGACACACTATCTGCCTCCTTTGAAAAGAGGTCAGAATACACAAACGGCCCTGTTTTAGTCCAATCCACTTTGTTTTTGGACAAAAGGCAGGACTTGGACACGCACTACTTCACGCGTTACATTTCACAGTCTCTAATCATGCAGCTGTGTTGTGGGACTGGCTTTTTACTTTCTATTGTACGCAATGCAATCTTTTGGCTTTCCATCAAAGTCTAGTAAATAATGGACAGTGTGTGTTGTATGAAAGGACTTAACGTTTATAAAGCCATTATTGTCAATTAAGAAAATGAAGTGTTCCCCTGGGCCTCACCATCTGGAGCTCCTTCCTCCCTCCCTCCTCTCATCTCCTCCGCTGTTTCGCTCGTCACAGTTCTCTGACCATCGCGCTCTACCGCTTCAGCTCCGGTCAACTGGCTTTCAGACTGCGCTTTTGTAATTGTGCATCGAATACCTGCTGACTTGTGTGTGTGAAACGTGTTGGGTTAAACTGGGGTTGCGTAATTGATCACATGTAAATAAGAGTTTAGTCTAATAGTCGTCAATGACCGGCTTTGTTTATTTGTTTTGGTTTTTCATTGAGAGATGTCCATAGGTAATCTTTATTCTATTCATTTTGTAAAGCCCTAAATCACAACAGCAGTCGTCTTGGAGGAGTTTACAACATTGTTTATTCCTCACCAACAGATCAGAGAATCAAACAGTTTGAACACAGGAAATGCTATAATAACAAAGACGTAGGAGCCATTGGTTCTTAGGGTGCGGGAAGACCAACATGACCATAAATGTCCTTAAATGTGTCATGGTGTAGATTTTGTCCACACAGAGATGGGAGTGGGGTCGCCAGTACAGGAGGCACATGCCAGACCTATTGTACATGTTTTGAGTGGTAGGGGAAACTGGAGGAGGAGAGTACATGCAAACTCCACACAGAAAGGCCTTGTTCCGACTGGGATTCGAACCCAGGACCTTCTTGCTGTCCACTCAGCTACTGTGCCGCCCTGGTTTATTGTTTGCATTCCTGCATTTTGGGTCCTCCTTTATCTCACCTCGTAACAAAATGTCCTTAAATGTACCAAATTATCACTGTTCTTAGACCTTCCTGCATCGTCAAGGAACTCATATATTCATACATTTTAACTACCATACATTTGGCTAAACTACTTTCTGCACAAACATACTATGAAATACACTATAGTCATGAAAATGTGACCAAATACATTTTATTATTTATTTATTTATTAAAGTGGACTAAAAGCAACACAATTATAACGCTGTCATAGAATGAGATAAATATACCAAACCAATGGCGGTACATACTGTAGACGCAGCGATGAGTTCAAACTGTGTCTTAATTTCGCATACATAATTGAAAACCAGCTGAAATGATTTTTATTTTCATTTCCAGAGGTCAATAACCGTTTCCCTTTTTTGTGTGGTTCTAGAGAGTCAGAGCTCTTCCTGCTTGACTCGCGGGTGATCTGGGCGGCGCAGGAGGGCTGGCTGGTGTTCGACATCACAGCTACAAGTAACCACTGGGTCCTGAACCCCGGGCGCAACCTGGGCCTCCAGCTGGCCCTCGAGAGCAACAGTGGTGAGTTCTATTCGTCAACTTCACAACATGATGTAAGAGCATACTGTCCCTGTTTAGTCCAAAGAGTATTTAAAGGAATCTTTGTTCTTACAGCAGTTGAACATCAGATAACCTATCTTGAACTGATACGTCAATGTTTTGAATTGTGTCATCTTCCTGACGATGACTGCTCTCATTCTACACTCTTGTGTACAAATCAAACTGATTGTCATCAGCCGGATCCCCCTTTCTCCTGTCTTTGATAATGCCCTTAGTGTCAGTGACTGTAGAGCAGAAAATAAACTGCTGTGTGGGACTGATAACATCTGTGGTTCGGATGTTACTCAGAGGAAACCTCATTAGTCAATACAATAGTTTCTGTGATTATTATGTCCTCTTGACACGATCTTACATGTAAAAGCTTATTTTTGTTTTTACTGCGTGGGAGGGGGTTTTGGATTTGCATCAGATTCAGTTTTAAGGGTTATGGGCGAGCGTGTACAGACAGGCACATGGGACATCCCGCCGCCAGAGGCGACCTGAGGCAAAGAACAGGCATCAGACGCATTCTTCTGTGTGTGAAGAGTAGATGGTGCGGCTGCATGCGGATGCATGTAGTGTTCACACATATGTCACAATAAACAGACAGATATTTGAGGTGGAGGCTTCATTGTGGCCAGATAGGGTCAGAGAGAGCTGGTGCCTGCTCCTCTAAGGGAAGGGAATGTCAGGCATACCAGTGATTTCACACACTACTCTGATTGTATACATTGGCTTTGTGCATGTCCCAACATCTGCTTGAACCTGCTCTCTGTCTCCCCCTGAAGGCGAGAGCATTCATCCTCGAGTGGCAGGCCTGATTGGCCGCAGCGGGCCTCAGAATAAACAGCCCTTCATGGTGGCCTTCTTCAAAGCCACAGAGGTGCACCTGCGCAGCATTCGATCAGCGTCAGGCGGCAACAAACAAAGGAACTCCAACCGCTCCAAAGCAGCAAAGAACCAGGAGGCTCTGAGAATGGCCAACGTTGCAGGTACCCTCGCTTTCTCGCTTGGATTTGGCTTTGATTGAAACAAAGTAATGCAACAGTTTCCCCTTGTGGTTCTTATTTGTATTATACACACATGCCATGACTACTTGAGATGTACACAGACAGACACAAAGATTTATTTAATTTTCAAACAACAAAGCACAGGCTTGCATATGCGTTTCTTTGTGACGAAGGTGCGAAGGGCCAGTTTATGTGAGAAGCTGAAACACAAGACCGTAATGCTCCAGCTTCAAATATCCCTCTGCTCTCTTTGTTTATTTACTCAGAACAGGCAGGCCAAGTTCCCCGTGTGGAGGTAGAGCCAAGCTGGCTTTTATGGCAGAACACGTGTGGGGCTCCGCGGGCCAGAGCAGGGTCACAGCATACGCTCCAAATGGAACTTTTTGGATACCAGCGCTCGCTAACTGAGTGATGAGAAGCAGTTGTACTTGATCATTCCCAGTGTGCACCTCTCTCTAATGCACTTCAGGGACACAAGGGTCAATGAGAGAACAGAGGGAAGATGATAGCGCTCGATCACAAACAGACAACTGTAATCGCATGAGTATGGAGGAAATATGAGAGAACAAATCCAACTTTTTTCGTCAAAAGAGCGAGAGCGCGCACACATCTGCTCGAGTCGGTGTGACCTCTGTACAGGGTGGCCCTTCATTTAAAACAATTACACAAGATCTGGACGTATCTGGAAGGTATTTGCTCCAGGACTTGTTTATATGTCAACATTTAGTCAGAGCCTCTTAATGTCCGATTGTTTAAACCATCTCCGTCTAATTAAGAGCTGACCCTGTAAATAGTTTGTGCTGCGGTCGACTCGCAGAATGAGATTTGTCATTTACCACAATTGTCTTGTTTGTTTTTTTCGCAGAGAACAGCAGCACTGATCAGAAACAGGCCTGTAAGAAGCATGAGCTGTACGTCAGTTTTAGAGACCTGGGATGGCAGGTAATGGGGCCTTTGCAATGGTTACTCACATCGCACTGATAATCCAGAGACATGTGGGAATACTGCACTAATCCATACTGCGCTCAACATTTTAATGGACTTCAAATCTGTTGGACCGTTTTTGCAAGCTTTTATAGTCCAACTACTGGGTTAAATTATACAAGGTGAAGTCAAATGTTGGAATGAGCTGAGTTTCATGGAAAGAGGAAAGAAAACTATTCCAACATCTAAGGTCCCATTTAGACAGAGACGCTGCGGAGACGCTGCAAAGCAATTAGCACAAATGACAGGATCCTTATTCAAAGTGCAGAGCGTACTGTATATACGACGACGGACAATTATGTAGTTATAGCGCCCGGCCAGTAGTGGGCAGTGGAACTTTACAACAGAACACGTTTGACCCCCAGCAGTTAACCTCTTGCTCAACAACATCCTCTTCAGGCCGCCGTGAAAGATCGTGAAAACGTGAAAGAACCAACATCATTCTGCATTTAACAATAGCAACAAAAACTGCTCGAAGCACATGTAGTATTAGTGTTGTCGCCGCCATTATTGTTTACGTTTGTTCTCCGCTACTGCGCATGTCCAAATATTCCTGCGGGGAAGTGGGGGTCATAGCAGCAGAGAATTCACACCTTTTTCTTCACACAGCTGTGAAACAGCCGCTGCTGAGTAGCGTATCTGTTCTGTTCCACTCTGGAGGCTGTTTCTCAACGCTGGCGTTTTCATCTGAAACACCGTCTTCATGTAAACGAAAGGACAAATCGATACCCAACTCTAACATTTTATTGTCGCAGCGTCCTTGTGTAAACAGCTCATTACTATCCTTACCTTAAAAACAGTTTGTACATGTATGTTATTGACCTCGTCACATCATTAAATTAACTTTTTCACTCAGAAAAGTGAAGCAGGGATCACCGCCCTGGCTCAGCCAATCAGCTCCCAGCCCAAAGTGTCACGCAAAGTGTCACTTAAAAAATAACATGTTTTTTATTATGAAGAACCGAACAGACTTTTTAGTTCCTGAAACTATTATTATTATTATTTTTAACTTGGAAAATGAATGGTAATGGGCTTCTATGGACATATATTGTATAACATATATATACATCATTTTAAATCTTATATTCTCAGGAAAACAACAATATTTAATGACTTTTTAAGATTTGAGCCCAACACATAATTAGAAACAATATAAAGATAAAACATTTAAGGAATTAACCATTGGCATCAGTCTTCTATTATATCTGGGTCAAGTTTTGGTTCAACCTGTGACTAAACTCATTTTGTGCAGAAAAATCTACCAGGAAAGAGAAACCAAACTCATGTCAAAGAATTTCATAAAAATCTTTAAAATGATAATACAAGGAGAATCACTGATAAACGATTTCATCAATTCCACTCAATGTTTACAGCATGATACAACTTTAAGAAAGCACTTTTATATTGTGTTTGTTAACAAGAGTGGTTATTGCAGTTACTGTAAGGAATGGCTGCAGATTTTTTTGCTTCTGCCTTAATAATAATAACTAAACTGGAGAAAAAAAGAGTTTGAAAAGGTAACCATCTGGACAACGTTTTCAAATTAAGCTTTTCAATAAAATCCTCCTGGACAATTGTGCGATTGCTTCAACTCGTTTCCAGGCAGAGCACGAGCGAGAAACATTTCCTAACTTTTCGTATCATTAAATCTTGCGTTGTGCGTCGTGTGTTGTGTCTGCGGAGGGCGTGTTTGTGGACAGTCCTCTCTAACTGTGTGTTCCCGGCAGGACTGGATCATTGCTCCAGAGGGCTACGCGGCGTATTACTGTGAGGGAGAGTGTGCCTTCCCTCTCAACTCCTACATGAACGCCACAAACCACGCCATTGTGCAAACGCTGGTGAGTCACGCTCCTGCTGCTTTCATCAGGCCGACTATTGTCATCAGGAAAACCCTATTGTGGCAGACCCTGAGAGATAAGAGCAGCTGTATTTGTCCAATGGGGGATTCCAATGGCAATTTGTTTAGCATAGTTCATACTCAAAGAGCCTGCACAAAACAAAATAGAACCAATAACACTGCAAAAAATTATAAAATATGAGGTAATGATATGCTGTGGTTTTTATCTTCATTTGAGCAGATTCTTAAAACAAAACCATTTAATCTAATTGGTTTATTTTCTCATTCCAAGGGAGATATTTCTTCTATTTTATTAAAACAAGATTATTTAGCATTGTCCCATTGGCAAATCTTGTTTTAGGGCAGTCAAAATGTCCTCAAACTACAACTTTTATTACATTTGCTAAATTTGAGAAATTTGTGACTTATTTTTTCATCACTTTTTGCAGTGTATACAAGGCATTAACGACATAAATAATCACAGTGCATTAATAAAGAGGAAGATACAATCCTCCAGTTGTATGCACAGCTAAACAGAACTGTTTTTAACCTGGATTTGAACATTGTCAGAGTAGAAGCCTGTCTCACATTTTCAGGAAGACTGTTCCAGATTTTAGCTGCATGAACTTGAAACGCTGCCTCCCCATGTTTAGTCCTGACTCTGGGACCAGCACAAGGCCAGTCCCTGTGAAATAGATCTTATTTGTTTTTGCCAGAGTAAAGAGACCATATAATCACTCCAGTATCTGTAAAACATATGATACAATGTAATAACTGTAATTTTAAAATGGAATAACCTTGTGTCTGTTTCTCAGGTACATTTTATCAACCCGGACACCGTGCCGAAGCCGTGCTGTGCTCCCACGCAGCTCCATGCCATCTCCGTGCTCTACTTTGACGACAGCTCCAACGTCATTCTCAAAAAGTACCGCAACATGGTGGTCAGGGCCTGTGGCTGCCACTAGGACTTTCCACTTCAGGCTTTTGGACTAAACTTAGACGACTGCTTCCACTGCGTAGTCTGAGGACCGAACAGAGAGAAACCTTTTGACTGAAAACTCTCACGCACAAAAGAGAAGCCTCTACGCCCACGATATGAGCGGAGGCTGAAGGCGGAGACGATGAACACACTCAGAGAGACTGTGGAACGTGCACTTCTGGTGTCATTCTGCTTTCATTATGGACCACAGGAGGTCAATGTTAGTTCTGAGACAGACCTGGACCTTTTTTTTTTACCCCAAAGAAATCCTCTGACTCTCTATAAATGTTATTTACTATCAAAAATCACAATATGGCTGCTCCCCCCCGATTGCAGCAAAAACACAATCCTTGCTCTATTATTATTACCACGATGTCTGCAGTGGTTGTTTTTAGAATTGGACAAAAGACTGATTCTTTAGTGGAATAAATGTTGTCCTGATTATCAAAGTAAATAATAAGGACTCATTAATATCTATGAAGGATTCAAACCGAACATACGTGGATTTAGGTCAAATGCTGAAAAGTCAAACTCATACTTGAACATTGTTAAGTGCTTTGGGTGATCTTGGTTCGTAAGATGCGCTATATAAATAAACATTTCTCACTTACTTTAGACTCATCTCAGACAAAGACATTTCCTTCATTACAATTTGAAGCCAGCATCAACTGTACTGTATACTCTCACAATCCACAATACTTTATATCCATGTTTTTTAAATCGTTTTTCAGCATTTGTTGTTTATATAATTATATGTAGTGATGACCAGGATGGACACGCTGAACTGTTGTATGTACAATATTGTGTAAATATTTTTCTGTATTTATTTCCACGTGTTAAAACATGTTATGATGCCTTTTTTTAAACCCACAAACAGAGAAACAGGAGGAGGTTGTTTTTTCCCTCGTCCTGCTGTAATCAGAAGTGCACTTTGTCTCTGGACGCACAGAACTGTTGGTGTCTGAGTTTATTTAAAAAGGTGCATTCCTCAAGTGTCCCGGTCGTGACCCGCTTTTCTGAAGTGGTCCCAAACCTGCTTCTTGCATGAAATGAAATGCTTTTCTCCAAATGTTGCTCAGCTCCGTTTAAAACATGGACATTCCTGCATTTATGGATGATTTCAGAGCTTACATCTTTTTGCTTTTTTCCCAATTCTATTCAATTTATTTTTTATAGTTGAATAGAATAGAACTTTATTTTCTGTTCAATTGAGCAGAAATGTGTCTTTCAACACGATTCCACAACAACGGATCAGAGAATAAAACAGGAAATGCAATATAAACAAACTCATAGGAGCCATTGTTCCAGCAGGACGACCTGTTCCGGGTCATCACTGTCATTAGAACCTACACTATCAACGAGGAATAAAGGGACAAGCACATAATGTCTGGTAAGCAACAAGACAAAAAACTTCCTGAGCCTGAAATTGAAGCAAAAATGACACTGTGCTTCTTTCACTCTTATGAGAAAATTAAGAAATTTGCAGCCATTGACCTTTGCAAAACTTATTTGTCAGTCACAACCCCAATCTAAAAACATTTAGACCAAACAAAAAGTATTGTAATCCAAATCTGGTGGAGAAATTATTTTTCTACATTTATGCAAAATCTACCAAGAACACTTTTTATCACAATACATGTAGGATCATCAGTGTCCTTAGACCCTCAGGCGTCAACAAGGAATGACAAAAAAATAACCCAGTGGGAAAAAAAACCCTGGGAAGGCCCACATTGAGAGAGGGATTGACTCCCACAGACGGACAGGCTGTAGATCAGGTGTCTCCAACCTTGTTCACCCAGAGAGCTACTTTCCCGGGTCGATAAAGGCAGAGAGTTACTCCTTAAGCGGCCCTGGGAATAAAATGTGGTGATATATTGGTTTGAACAAGCCTGATATTGGGCACAGTGAACTAGTGCGCAAAGTAAGTGCATTTACAATATTAAATTATGAGAATGAGTAACACAATCTGAAATATGAAGAATATTAATCTTTGTTTTGTTTTCATTTCTAAATCCTTCGGCGAACTACCTGGAAGGGGGTGGCGAGCTACTGGAGGCTCCCGAGCTACAGGTTGGAGACCCCTGCTGTAGATCCTGTGAGAAGACTCGCCTCTCCACAGATGTAACTGATCTGAGTAAAGTCACGTGCTTGGTTCCATTGTAAAAAAAAAAAATACAAACTATATAAATATCTAGGAAAAACATTTGCTTGTGTGAACTCAAGCAAATATAAACAGTTCAGGAATGCACCGTCAGGTATATGCGTTTCCGTAATGCTAAAATGCATTCAAATATTTTTAGTATTTCAGAAGAAACGCAGCAGGTGGTCGGCCTTCCATCAATAAAGCTGGGGTACCTACAATTTATATGTATTTAAATTTGACTGCACATTCTGTTTCGGCCTCGAGAAAGATGAGCTTTTCATGGGTTATCCAACCAGATTAAGATTAAGAGATGTTGTATTCATCCCACAGTGGGGAAATTTCAGTGTTGCATCACAAGTTATAGACAGTAGGAATGAGGAGCACACAGCACAAGATAAATGGATAATAACTCTATACTATAATTAGATTTAAAAATGAATTGTGTTGACAATTCTGTGGTCCGACGGTGACATTTTGTGACACCAATGTTACAGCCAGAATAATTGTGATTTATTTATTCATAATGTCGCAATGATTTAATTTCAATTAACAATATATGTATTAACAAACTATGAATTTGAAGAGTTTAACTTTATTTGAGCCCATATGGGACAAGCTCACAATGTCTTGTTTTACAGACAGTTTGTGCTTGAGGACAAAAAACTTCCTGAACCTGAAATAAAATAGCCACTCAGCTTTGCCAAACTTATTTTAAACTTATTTAAAACAATACAAAGCTAAAAACATTTCAACCAAACTAAAATTATAGTATAATCCAACACAACTGGTCTTTTCATATGACCCTCTGCTCTACACAATTTAGTCTTTGAGGTCACAGTGTCATTCAGCCAACTTCAGCTCAGTCGATACAGGCATGTTTTACCAAGTATTCAGCCTTTTAATTGTATATGCAGATTTTTTTTTTAATTTTGTCCAAAAATTACTGGTCACTGACACTGGTCATTGGTCATTCAACCAACTTCAGCTCCATCATAGCTAAATGTAAATCTCACAACTGCCTGAATACAGTCAAAACAGTTTATCTGCCCCTGGACAAATCTGACAAAAGAGGCCCTCTCACTGAAAAGTCTGGACACCCTCTTTTTGAGCCTTGTCCAGTCCTGCGTATAGGAGGGTTGGACTTATATAATCATCACTTTTGAAACCCAGGTACCCCAGCTTTAACACGACGGAGTGCACCTGTAATGCATGAGCTGTTTATTCAATCAGGACCACAGGATTTTTTGTTTTCCGTGTTTAAAGACAGTTTCAGGTCCTCCCCCTGCTGCAGAACACTCATATATTTAAGGAGCATTTATTTATTGAGCGCGCGGCTGGTGCGTTGCTGCAGGGGTCTCCATCAGGGTCTCCATCAGGGTCTCCATCAGGGTCTCCATCAGGGTCACCATCAGGGCTCACTGCTGAACGTCCGAGCAATAAACCAGACGACGCTAATGTCACCATCATCAAATATTCTGTTATGTTTGGGAAATAAAAATGCAAAAAATACTGGCTGTATATAATAATACAACTTCTTTTTCTGTGTTTGTATTGTTCTGTGTTCCCATAGATTTTTGTTGTTGTAATAATTCATGTCCAAATATCTGAATGTTAGAAAGCCCTTGTTATTTATATACTCTATACTTGGTCCAGAAGTGGCAAGTACTGTATCTATTTTTTTTTACATAAGGTCTGTATATAAGTAGTTTGACCTGCTGGTGTTTTTCCTGACTATTTATTTTTATCACAATATTATTTATTTTTTTACATTTTTCCCCTCTATTAAAGCCCAAATATCTTTATTTCAAACATTTTAGGCAAGGCAGGTTTATTTGTATAGCACCGTTTATACACAAGGAAACTCAAAGTGCTAAACACAACAAGATGTCCAGTCCTTGTGCTCCTCAGAGTCCCAGCAGGAGGCCAGTCTCTGTGCTCCTCAGAGTCCCAGCAGGAGGCCAGTCCCTGTGCTCCTCAGAGTCCCAGCAGGAGGCCAATCCCTGTGCTCCTCAGAGTCCCAGCAGGAGGCCAATCCCTGTGCTCCTCAGAGTCCCAGCAGTCCCTGTGACATTAGTGACTTTAAGGATCACACAAACCTTTTTAAAGTGGCAGGACAAAGATTTCCCAATGTTATGGACATTAATGGTTAGCCTTGCTTCTAAGTGAATCGTGGATTGTGGTTTGCCATACTTCCACGTGACTTTGTGCATTGTGGGTGGCCTTCAGATAACAAAACACATGATTACTTTTCACTATTTTTTAGGGTTACTCTTTTGCTAGAGGGGATTTTATACAACTATGCGTACTTTTACTTAAGTACATCCGTCCAGGGCAACTGTCTCATAAAACAATCAAGTTGCGATTTGAAAAACACTTGACACTAACATTCAATTTCCTAGTAAAGAAAACACATGCGGCAATAACCACAGACAGTGATAACAATCGTGCTGAAATGCTGACACCTACCGGCCGCCCCCAGTACTACATCCAGTGTTTTCCAGCTAATGAAACATAAGGGATTAATGCAGTAATATTTCATAATGAAGGATTTCAATATATTTCTGCTTCCATCTGAAAATAAATGAGTTAAGGAAGGACTAATTATAAATAATCTGCTTGGTATATTATTGCAACCTTTTATTCTTCTTCATTTTACGTTTTATTTATTTCAACAAATCTTTCACAAATATAAAATCAGACAAGAGTGACTTTAAGGTTTTTAGCTTATTGTCAGTTTTTCAGACACGTTCCTCTCGTTGTAACCCTGAAGCAATCGTGTGGAAACCGAAAGTGTTTTTGAGACGCGCGCGCACTTTCACTTTCGCTTCAGAAGACCAAAAAAAAAGACGCACTTCACTTTAAGCCCAATTTCTACTATTTTTACTCACAACCCGCGAGGTGAGTTCTTTTTATACCTGGACATTTGTACTGTTGCGATTCCAAATGATTAGACATGCAATTTTAGATCATTTTAAACACGTGCATTATAAGTTATGTTTTTCTTTTCTGTATAGAGGAAATTTTAGTGTTCTGTATTTGAGAAGAGGACAATTATTTGGTCTTGGGATGGAGGCCAGAGCCAAGCTGCACCTGAGAGAGTGGCTGATCGTGCAGATAGACAGCGGCAGATATGAGGGTCTGTGCTGGGAGGACGAGGACAAAAGTATGTTCAGGATCCCCTGGAAACACGCAGCCAAGAAGGACTACAGGCAGCGGGAGGACGCGGCTCTCTTCAAGGTCCCGTACTCCACTTACTTTTCATTTCAAATCAATACAATAGAATACAATAATAATACATAGACATTGCAGTGATGAAAGATGCTATGAGTGTATATAGACTATGCTTTAACAAACAGGGGCCTACAATAATTCAATTCAATGTATTTTTGTATGAATCTTGGTATGTACATTTTGCTCTAAATCACAAAATGCAGTCGAGCTGGAGGACTGTATAAAATTGTCGATTCCTCAACAGCAGATCAGAGACTCAAATAGTGCAAACACAGGAAATGCAATATTAGCAAACACATGAGGAGCCATTGGTCCATAGTTAGTTAGTTAGTTAGATACCATATTGATCCCTGTAGGAGAAATTCAGGAGTCCAGTAGCAGCAAAAACACATCCATCCACACAAACAAAACAAATAAATTAATCTTTCTAAAAAGCTAACACTAGTAATAGTAAAAATAAGATATTAGGGAGTGGGATGATCCATGTCCATAAATGTTCATTGGATAATAGACATATAGTTCAGTAGTCTATGCATTTTATACAATTTCTATTTTCAGTTTGACTTGCCTTAAAGCGGGTGTATTTTAATTTTCAATCTAAAAGGAGGAAGTCAATATTCAAATCTCACTTTTGCTCAAACCATGAAGTGCATAGTTGGCACTTTACCCGGTGGAGCAGCTTTGAGATAGCAGGGACAATAGTACATTCATTTTTAGAGTAACTCAGTGTAACTCATTACAAAAGTGAAATATCTCATGTATTATTAGTCATAAAGAAACTGTAGTTACAATTCATGTTAAGTGCACATTTTATTTTTGTTCACACCATTTGCTATTTTTACTTGATGAAACAAAGATTGATATTAAAATCACACTTAGAACAATGTCAGTGGAACTATGTGATGTAAAGAGTGTTCTGGACCAAAAGTTACTCTGTTTCTTTTACAGCGTCACTTTTTAAACTCAGATACATTCTAATACAGATATATGTCACTCAGCACAATGCTCCAGAACATGAGGAAATGAAGTTTATATTTAGTTAAGGTAGAAAAATGGGCAGGACTTAGTCAATATAATTTACTTCCTGCTGCTCCTTTAGGACATGATTTATTGATTATAAATGATCTATTTATCTATGTATACACACAATGTTCATGTTTTATTTGACTGTGCTTCGTATTGTCTGAATAACAACACATACATAAACATATTAACATCTTAGAGTAACTTCTCCAACTCTGGCTTTGGCTCGGTCCGAAATAACGACAGTGATGGGACATATTTAATACATGGTTTATTAGTATTAGGCTGGTGCCATGTGACTTGGGGGGCATCTCTGACTGCCACCCCCGACCCAGAAATGGATTAAGAAAAAGGATAGATGGATGAGTTTATTAGTATTATCTTTTTGTTTATCGTTAACTGCCAGAGCATTTCTTTTGGCTCCATTTAATTTAATCTAAAGCAATATGTTTGGTCGCTTGGCAACCAACATTCTATGGCTGTCGAAGCTCTTTTTCTCCAAGGTCCTTCAGAACCAGAGCTAGCTACCATTGCAACGCACTGTTTACAGAAAGCAGTTAGCATTTGGTAGCTATATTCACCACTTAGTAAACATGACAAAAAGCAAAACCTTATCCCTCATCACAGGTGGAAAACTGACTTTATAATAGGAATTTTTCAGAATTCTGGGAGTAAAAGAGACATTTGATCCAGTGGTTCTGCACGTTGCACTGAAATAGCAGAGTGTCGTTCATGCGTCAAAGTGAAAGTGAAATGTGATAGAAGTGTTGCTGTGCAGGCGTGGGCCGTGTACAAAGGCAAGTACCGGGAGGGCAGGGACCCGGCGGACCCCACCATGTGGAAGACCCGCCTCCGCTGTGCCCTCAACAAAAGCTCTGACTTTGAGGAGGTCCCTCAACGCAACCAGTTGGACATCACTGAGCCGTACAAGGTCTACAGGATCCTCCAGGAGCCCAGAGAAGGTAACTCCAGTGCATGGTAATCACAAACATGACACTTATGTTTTGGTTTTATTGCTTTATTACCAAATAAAACATCATGCTTCCTGTGCCCTCCACAATCAAGTGTATTGTTTCCCATTCTAAACCATGACATTCCAAAGTCAATATTCTAAATATCACGTTTAGGGGAAATTTATAGATATATAGATAGATAGATAGATAGAGACTTTAATAATCCCTGTAGGAGAAATTCAAGTGTCCAGTGGCAACAAAAATAAAAAGTAAAATGGATCATTCTAAAAAGCTAACAATAGTAATAATCAGCGGGTGGAGCAGGACGGGTCACAGCAGCAGGGATGGAGTATCCTCTGGGTGGAGCACGTAGTACCTGCTCCACCCAGAAGCTGCGCTGCTCTAGTCCAAAGTAAAATCTAAATGCTTCATTAGCATCTTTTTTGTTTTAAGTCAGCATTCCTCCAGTGGATTTTCACCTGATCCGCTTGGTTCAGACCATGAATCCTCTCTGCTCTGGTCTGGACCAGTGTAAAACATGAACACTGTACTGCAGCAACATCTCAGGTAGAAAAAAGCAAGACAAATAAAAATTGTAAAGCACAAAATAACAACTGTTTCAGAGCTACTTAGGACTTGCAGCCGTTTTCCAGCTCATTCTAAAGTGTATATTATACACACATAATGCAGAATATGTGTAATATATTGTAAAGTGAATAAAGATTGGAGTCCAGAAATACATGCATGTGAAATCCAGTGAAAAACCCAAACTGTTTCTAATATTTCACATTAAACAGTTTTGGCATTTAGTGAAAGTGAATGAAGAAAAAAAAACGTACTTATCGGCCCAAAAACCAAACATTTTTGGGCCATTTCTCAGAATTCCATTGGTTTGAATGAGAGCAATCAAAATGACGGCTCTGAGAGTTCAAGTCCTTGTGTTAACATTGACACAAATAGTCACTTTTTTATTAAACATATCCAACTTTTGTAGAATCCATGCAGAGAGGAGAAGTGAAGAGTCCGGACGTGTTGGACTCAGAGGAAGAAGACGATGTAAGATTTTGTTTGTTGATAAAAAAAAATCTGTCCCGGCTTCACATTTACATTGGCTTCACATTGTCTGTTTTAGTATTATCAGCCAAGAGAATCAACTGACGGCATTCATCAGGAAAGAACCACAGGTAACAATACAAAAAATATATTCATTATAATTATATATTTTTATTTAACCTTTATTCAACCTGGAAAGTCCCGTTTCAAGGGAGTCCTGGACAAGAGGCTTGATGCTTCTTGTCATGGAGTGACTTTACAAAACATGAGAATACAGAGAACGGTCATTATCAAACAGGTCAGATGAGTTTTGGTCTCGTAAGTTTCTATTATTACTCAAACTTTGCAGCGTTAATTGTCTGTCATACATTATAAACGCATGGTTGGATAATAAATCCATATATTTGATTGTTTATCTTGATGTTAAAAGCACGATTCTCTTGCTCCGCGCAACAACAAAAAACAAAACATGTGCAGAGAGGGACTGTGTATTGGTCCTGTCCCAGTCCAAACACAAGCCTGATTTTCCCCTGTGCTCTCCAATTCCCACGGTCTCGTTCCAATCTGGTTTCCGTGGTTACATCAGCTTGCACCAGCACCTCGGAACGGACTGGGTTTTCACACCTCCATTGGCACAAGTTTTGAGTAAAGTCCTGGGTTTGAATCCCGGTCGGAACAGGGCCTTTCTGAGTGGAGATGGCACGTTCTCCCCATGTCTGCGTAGGGTTTCTCCGGGTGCTCCGGTTTACCCCTACCGATAAAACAAAGCCAAAGATCAACTTACAGAGATGGGACATAAGCGCTGTATTCGGGAGACTACGACTGGACATATTTCCCTGGGGTAGACAATTAAAAAAACTACATGTGCATCAAAACAATCAATAAAATTCAATCAGAGTAGGAGGAGAGGTTGGTTTTCACTGACGGTTTGTAAACGCACTTCACGTGTTGTGTTGAAGGAGATCCTCTGAGGGAGCACATGTACTGTGAGGTCAAAGAAAACACATCTGCGAACCTGCCCCAGGCCTCTGTGTCCTTCTTCAGCCACGGGAACAATATCTCAGGTAACTACTGGGACTTAATCTCACTAAAAAATGTGGTATAAAGTGGTGTATGTCACTGAAACATTCTTTCTGTTGGGACAAATAAAATGTATGTATGAAACAAAACAAAATTTAGGAGACATATTATGGGAAACCATATGGATCAACATCAAATGACACTTCATTTAACCGGTAGCGCTAAAATGAAAGTTACCGCGTTCAATCTGGAGAGACTACAAGAGACAAGTTGTATTACAAGATTTACTGATTGCCAGTTTGTTTGTAGTTTATTATCTTGGCGTACTGGTGGTGGCAACAGGGCAAGGTGGATGTGAGCATGCAATGAAATCCTGAGGTGGAGGTGGGAAGGAAGTGGTTGTGGCTTAAAAGGCTTTTTTTTGGTGAGCCGTGCCCTGCTTTTTAGTGCTGGCTTGATTGGTACGACTAGCAGGGGAGTTGATGAAGCTGAGGAAGGAAGGGGCCGGCCTGGTGCGATGACGTGTGTGGGTAGTCTACCAGTTTCAACTAAAGCTGCATTTTTAAAGTCAGAAGAAAAAGTGTGTGTGAGGGGTTTTACCTACTTCATGGATTTCGGTTTGTTTTTTAGATTGTAACCCTTGCCATTAATAGAAATCCAAAGTTCTGCTGCTAGGCTTGTGACCCACACCCATAGGAGAGCCCAGAGTTCTACACTATTTAAGTCCTTACTCCCTAGCTCCCTGTCACACTTTTTAAAATTCTGGTTCTGACATTTAGGGCTCTTCATGGTCAGGCGCCTGAATACATCCAGGTCTGATCCACCCTTATGTCTCCAACAGGAATCTGAGGTCCTCCACTCAGACCCTGTTGATGGTTGTTTTAAAACTAGAGGAGACAGATCCTTCCAGGCTTCCCCAGTCTCTGCGCATGTTAGAGTCCGTGGACAACTTCAAGTCCCAGCTTAAGACCTAATTGTTTGGACAGGCTTTCTCGCCTCACTGTACAAAGGCCTCTGTGTTCTGTGTTCATGACTATCCTGTATATTTGTTTTGGAACTGACTTGTATGTGTACTATGTGTCATTGTGTATTTTTAATTGTGAAGCGGTTTGTGATCCTGGTCTGTGAAAGTTTCTATATAAATAAACTTAACGTACTCACTTACTTTAAACAAGGAACCACTGCCCACCACTTTACTTTACATTATTTATAAAGCGCATTTTTACAGACCAAGTTCACCCAAAGCGCTTTACAATGTTCAGAGTATTAGAAAAGCAGTAAAACGCAGCAGTAGCGCCCTCTGCTGTGTGTGCAGATGTGCGCATGCATGTGACGCTGCTGTACCAGGGCGTGGCGGTGTTGCGGGTGACCACCAGGAGCCCGGACGGCTGCTTCATCCTGCAGGGCAGCGTCCCTCCGGCCAACGAGAAGATCTACGGCTCGTGCATGGCCCAGCAGCTGTCCTTCCCCTCCCCTGCTCACCTGCCCCTGCCCCCAGGACTGGCTCACACCATGGGCCGGCTCCTGTGCCACCTGGAGAGGGGCGTGCTGCTGTGGGTGGCCCCCGAAGGAGTCTTCATCAAGAGGTTTTGTCAGGTACTGGGGACATGTTTGAGCCACTGCAGAATCACTCGGGCCGTGTATTTTTCACAATTGTTTTTATTGTTTCCTCCATTTCCAACAAGTCACAGCATTCTTTTTTGGCCTGTGCCAAAATATAAAAATTGCAAAATATCATGATATTTTGTCACGATCACAATTGATTATTGCTGTGCTAATTCAAAGACTTTAAAGGGGACATATCATGAAAAATCCACTTTTTGTGCCTTAAATGCCTTATGTTGTGTAGTTGGAGCCTCTAGAAGTGCAAAAAAGTTTAAATCAGTCAAATCAGTTAAATCAGGGTTGCAGAGAACACTTCATATTCTGTTTAGGTAAGATTTTTCAACCCGTTCTGATTTTGCCATTCTCTATTACGTGTTTAGAATTATTACGTCACAGTATTTGCGGCGAGACTGCTATATAAGGGCATGGGCGTCTAACAAAACACTTCGGCCCAGCCCTCCTCTACTGTGCATCACTTCATTTGTAGTCCAAGCTCAAGGACGCCAGCGAACAGGGCAGGACTGGCCATCGGGCGTACCGGGCAATGCCCAAAGGGCCGATGCCCATATTTGGGCCGGTCTGTCTGCCTCATACAAAACACATGTTTATGAGAAGTGTAAATCCGTTGAGAATTGTTGGAGCGGGGCACGCGTATCCGCGGGGCACCTGCTGTATGTACTCGAACGGGATTCCGCCACCTCAGCGGCCGCAGTGTTCCGGGGCATCTGCGGCCGCTTTGTAATGAGCAGCTTCCACGTCCAGCGGCTGCGAGAGGCTGCGAGCGTCCAGCGGCTGTGAGCGTCCAGCGGCTGCGAGAGGCTGTGAGCGTCCAGCCGCTCGCAGCCGCTCCACCGTGTTGTGGCTGAGCGCGCAGCCTCATCGTGGCCATGTACCCAACCCCATAAACGCGCACAGGACCATGCGTGTCTTTGAGTAATCTGTGCACCCAATAAATACAGCGCTGCAGGAAACAGTCCGCGTCTCCCCTCTCCTCTCGAAGCGCGATTAAACGCCCTAAATAAAGCTCTGATACCTACATTTTGCATTGCATTAAAAGTTCATGTTTGAGCCCAAAAGTAATATGTTGTGAACAAATTAAACAGATTTAGAGCCAGCAAATGGCTGACAATATGCATTTCAGTCTTTTTTGACCAATTCTCATCCCTGTAACAAACAATAGTGTTGTCTGTGTCCACCTCCCTCACTCTGAGACATGTTTATTACTCTCTTTAATGTAGACTATTGCATTTTATTTTATTGTTGAAACTGCACATATCCTGATCCTCTACAGTATTTGCTTCCACATACTGTATAAACTAGGAGTCGGCAACCTGCGGCTCCGGAGGCGCATGCGTCTCTTTCCTTCTGTAGAAGGAAAAACGTTCTTAACGTTTTTAAATGCTGTAAAATTGTGCATAAGTAATATTCAAATATTCAATATTCAATTCAATTTTCTGTCAATGTGTCTGTCAAACCGGCGTGTGAGCATCATAGACTGTGCGCATGGATCCCAAAGCTAAAAAGAGAAGAGTCGATAATAAGACTGGACTAAGAATGAAACTTAACATTTGCTTTCAGTCAATGAGGAAGGCCTGCTTCATGTTTGCGATGTAATGAGAAGTTTCTATGAGATAATTGTATCTGTGCTTAGAAACTACAAAAATGGCCGCTCGGGGTGGAGTTGAACCTGTGTCACCTGGATGGGGGCGTGGTCAAAAGCGCCTCATTTGCATTTAAAGAGACAGCACCAAAACAGGTTGCTCTCAGACGCACCTCAGAACAGGTGTAGAAGAAAGGCCCGTGGAACTACAAATAATGAGACTCAGACCCAGGCATTGCAGTTACGCTTTATATAGGCCACAAATTAATGATTTAGATGTAAAAATCTATTATTTGAAAACACGATATGTCCACTTTAATCATGAATGATGCCGTTTTATTTAGAAAAACGTGCCATTTGCCTGATAAACGAAGTAGGATAATATGATCAAATTCATTATTCATAATTCAAAAAATCAAAAAAATCAAATAAAAAAATAGAATAAAAAAGGGATTTGATGAGTTTAATCTGTTGAGTTGTTTTTTCATTGCGGTTCTTTTGAAAGTGAGAGTGCATGTTTAGGCTGCAGAAGAAAAAAAAACAAAAAAAAAATTTTTTTTCTCCAAATCTTACAACATTTCAAGACTTTGTTAATTATAAAACACTTCAAATAATGTTTATGTTTAAATGAAATGTTTTCTCAGAGGGTGTTCAAAATATTTTCAACTCCAAACAACAACATGTAGTTTTGAAGATGACAGTGCAATTATTTTGCCAAAAATTAGAAAATCTTGGACCTAAAATGTTTTGTCTTTTCATGAAAAAATGTCAGCAGGTAGATTACAGCATGACATTTCTTATACATATCAATAATGCAGCTGTTACAGTGAAAACATCTCATAACCAGTGTCTGTAACATGGTGTTCCAGGGCAGAGTGTACTGGTCCGGCCCCCAGGCCAAACACGCTGATCGCCCCAACAAACTGGAGCGAGACAAGACCTTCAAGCTGCTGGACGTGCCGCTGTTCCGCAGCCGTGAGTCCGAACACCAGATTCATATGAACGAGGATTTATTGTTTATTACTGTTTCATAATGAAAGTGTTTGTGTGCAGAGCTGCAGAGGTGTGTGCAGCAGAAGGGGCCACTCCCATCGTACAAGATCGAGCTGTGCTTTGGGGAAGAGTATCCAGACCCCAATGTTCCCAAAGCAAAGAAACTTATCATGGCAGAGGTCAGTGTGTCAATTCATTTTTCATTTTTAATAACAGCTGTAGCTTTGTAGGATTTTACAAAGTTGTCAGTTCACCAGCAGCAGGTCAGAGAATCAAACAAAGGAATAACAATAATAAAAAACACATAGGAGTGGTTCATAGGGAACGGGATGACCATTACATACCTGTTAATAAATTTCCTTATTAAGAGAGGGAGGACTGTTGAGGCCACAGGTGGGAAGGGGGGGGGGGGTGCAACCCTTAAGTCTTGGCCGGGGGAGACCAGTGCACAGGTGCAGGTCAGGGAGGCCGTACTCAGGAGTCCCATCACCACTCCATGACACAGACAGATGTGTTGCAGGAATAACATGACTGCATTTTCTTCTCTGAGTTTGTAGCCTCACATTTTCTACATCACGCTAATATGAGGAACAGCAATCTTTATAACTACTTTTAATTACTTCTCGCAATGTGTTATATTAACTAAAATAACATAATGTAATTGAACATTTATACCACTAGAGGGAGGTGTTTGACAACTCCATTAGTAGATGATACATGTTTTGTCATTATGCTCAATACTTTTTTTTTCTTTTTTTAAATGTTTAATACACAAAACATACTGAAACATACTAAATTGTTTAGAAATTGTCGTTTTGTTAGATGGTTTATAAAAGGGTTAAACATATGAATATTAGCAGAAAGATTGTTGGTAATATACTCATTTATACATAATATATAAAGAAGCTACAGATTAAGTCATAATTACTCACTCTACCTCGCGCTTCTCACATTCTATTGATAAAAGCTGAAGACAGGCGTTGTGGCGACACCTTCATGTGAAAGCCTAATCCCCTCAGACATCAGATGCCAAGCAGGGCAGGGCCTGGTTAGTATGGTGATGAGAGACCTCTGGGAACACCAGGTGCCACTGTGGAGGAGCCATGGTCAATATAGCACAGCGCCTGGGGCCTTGTTCTAGATATTGAGGATCTGCTTGGCCAGGGCCGAAGCTGGAGGATTTTGGCTGTTGTGTATGTGTTTAGTGGTAAGGGAAACCGGAAGAAACCTATGCAGACACGGGGAGAACATACAAACTCCACTTAGAAAGAAGAGAAGTGAGAGTGTTACTCACAGAATCAGTCTAGAATGAGTCTCGTGTGTAGAGTGTCCAGGATAGCCTTTTATAAGTACATTGCATTAGTGTGAATAAAGTTTGTTTAGTTGGAGCTGTAGCTGCGTGTTTGGTCCAGCAGAGGGCCTCAGTGAGACATCAGTGTTGTGTGCAGGTGGTGCCTGTGTTTGCAGAGGAGCTGCTACAACAATTACATCTGCAGGACTCTGGGGACACAGGGGACACTGAAGACAGGAGCACTGAGTCTCACAGCCAATCAGAGACTGAGCACTAGCCTCCAGCTGGATGTGGGGGAGGAGCCAAAAAAAGAGCAGAAGTCTGTAGAGCCAGGAGTAATGTGAAAACTGTCATTGTATTCAAGATCCTATATTCATCCTGCTGCACTGACCAATAGCAATATCTCTCACTACCATTGAAAAAAAGCTATAATAACAAAAACAATACATTTCCTTTCTTTTATTTATTGAAAATGCTCTTCTGGTCTTTATATACCACACAGTATTGTTGACAAAAAGTGACTTTCCGACGTCATCCTAAAATAAAACCACACATAATCTTTGTCTGTTATGGTCATATAATATTGGACTTATACATTTAGACCGATCTGAGGTACAATGAATATGGCGCATGTTGGTCCATAACAAATCTATATCAATATTGCCCACACCTTTTTTCTGGTATAATTTCAGATTAAATTAAAGTAGGATTAAATTGTGTTTAAAATTAGAACTTTAATTTTGGAAGAGCAATTTCTAATTTTATGCGCATTTTTGGTCTTCTGGACCTTGTGACTTTTTCTGCATCTATATGTAGTTTATTTCTCTCATTGTTTGATTAAATTATCTTTTGTTTTTGGAATTTGAGTAGTTCTACCTTCTACTAACTCCCATGGCAGTCATTTTGACGGCTCCGTTCATGTTATGTCATGTCATGTTAGCATTTAGCCTTTCAATTGTTTTTGCTAAAGTTATGTTCTAGTGCTTAATACAAATACAAACCGCATGAATTGCTTAATATTAATCAAACTAAATAAAATAGTTTTTGGGTATGTTTAAGAATTTAAATGATTTGAATGGGAGCAGTCAAAATGACTGCTCTGGGAGTCCTAGAGTTACATTTTGAACACATTTTGAAGACAATTATTATTAGATTTCTGTTTAGAATGTAAATAAATAATATTAAAATATATCATGCATGTTAGTGGTGTGTTCATAACAAAGTGAGTCCTCTGATTGTGTGTCCTCTGACTGTGTGTCCTCTGACTGTGTGTCCTCTGATTGTGTGTCCTCTGATTGTGTGTCCTCTGACTGTATGTCCTCTGACTGTATGTCTTCTGATTGTGTGTCCTCTGATTGTGTGTCCTCTGACTGTGTGTCCTCTGACTGTGTGTCCTCTGATTGTGTGTCCTCTGATTGTGTGTCCTCTGACTGTGTGTCCTCTGATTGTGTGTCCTCTGACTGTGTGTCCTCTGATTGTGTGTCCTCTGACTGTGTGTCCTCTGATTGTGTGTCCTCTGACTGTGTGTCCTCTGATTGTGTGTCCTCTGATTGTGTCTATTGTCTGCTGTCTGTAACCAACAGTGAATATTTCTCCTAAACATTCAGTGCATAAAATAAATCAACGTCTTCGATGAAGTTTATAAAGCTTTTTGTCTTTTATTTCTAGCGAACATCAGAAAACAGAGTCACAATTTGAAAAATATACATTTCCGTAGCTATAACATTTAAAAAGAAACAAATCAACAATGTCTGAAATAAAAAAAAAACACATGAACTAAAGTGAGAGAGTGTGCTGAACCAGAGCAAATACCCGTATCGGAGTTTCAAATACTTTCATCCTGTCCCTGTCTGACGTACAGTACTCATGAGAGGGACCAGGGCAGGGTGCCGGGGCCCAGGGCAGGGGCCCAGGGCCGGGCACACAGGGCAGGGGCCCAGGGCCGGGCACAAAGCACACAGTCCAGACGTGTTCTTAGCCCCAGTACTGTGTGTGTACAGTACACACTCCACAGAGGGGGCAAAGCACTGCTATAAGGGACTTGATAAAAAGCATTGATATAAATTAGAAGCATAGATGATCACTTCAAACTTGTGTTCATGAAGTTAGAAGCATGGCTAACCTGTCAAACTTGACATTCATTCATTTAGAAGCATGGCTAACCACTTCAAACTTGCATTAATGCATTAAGAAGCCTGGCCAACCTCTTCAAACTTCTATCAATTAACTTAAAAGCATGGCTAACCACTCAAAACGTGTTAGTGAATTTAGAGGCCTGACTTACTATACTTCAAACCTGTATACATTAATTTAGAAGCATGGCTAACCTATATTAAATTCCCATGTGACATTGCAAAAGCTTTGTGGCTGGTGTCTGATGTTACTGTCATTTCAGGCAAAGGTTTTTAAAGTAACTAAAACATAGAGTATACGTAGTACAGATTGCGGCCTTTAGAAGGAATACTCAAGTAAAGCTCAGGTACCTAGAATTCTCAGTCACTTGCCCCCTCTGTAAGTGCTTAACAGAGAAGCAGCACATGCGACTGGCTGCTCGTCTGTGTGGGCGGGACTGTCTGCTTTTTACATGCGCCAGAACACGCTAAGAACAGACTGGACGGTGAGGCTTTGATAAACACATCTTGGAAACGAGAAGAAAAAAAGGCGAAGGGTTGCTTATACATTCAACTTGCCTCCTCGACCGACGCGGCGGCTTCGAAGCAAGAAAAGAATCCAAAAATAAAGGAAAAGAAATGCGTTGCAATACTGACAGAGATTGCATTCTTTTAGCATATTTACTGTATACAACATCAGTAATGTAATATATATATCATGTATAGTCAATTATCTTCATATTTATATTTATATGCACTTGTTCCGTAGCCTTAGCGCTGGTTGAAAACTGGTACCCTGCAGAATCACTGTTGAGTAAGTGTGCGGGACAGTCGTTACAAAAACAGTGAACACAGAAGAAAAACAAGTGCTTTATATTTGATTGTCTCCCTAAACTCTACAGAGCCGTCCTTCAGCTGCTCCTGTCAGCACTGAGCTAAGGTGGTTAATCATTTTGGGCACCCGTAAAAAGCATGACATTATAATTCCTTTCCCTGCAACCCCACTTGGCGTTCTCCTGGGTTTAGGAGAGACAAGCAGGGTGTGTGTGAGTGTTTATTTGAGAGAAATAGAGAGAGAGAGAGAGAGAGAGAGTGTGTTTGTTTGATAGAGAGAGAGTGTGTGTGTGTGTGTGTGTCCGAATACCCACACTCACTCCATAGCTCCTCATACATTACATACAGTAGTCACGCACTCACCACAGGTCACATGACTTAAGCACCATTCTCAGTATTAGTCTGTCTGTACCTGTTGCTCACATATGTTTGAAAAAAAAAAAAAAAAATCACATTCAGTACTTGCGTTTTCCCATAATGCACACCATCTAAAACTGTCACACAACAGCCAAATATTAGCTTCCATAAACCTTTGGAGAAGTTTCAATTAAAGCACAACCAAAGCTTATTTGTTGATTTTGAAAAGTCAAAATGGGGAAAAAGAACGTTCCTTGCGTCCCATTTGTGCAAGTTCTGCAAACGGCCAGCAGAGGGCGATCATTTCTATAGTTTTAATGCAGACTCGACAGACAACAGTGAGGCCGGTGGTTGTCTGTGAGTGTGTTTCTGTGATCTTTGAGGTTACAAACTTGCCTCTCACTTTTGCACAAGTCCCCACCAGGTCGAGAAGCCTTTTGGATTTCTGCAAGTAGCGCTAAAATAAAAATAAAAAACTAAAGATTGCGCCCACCCTGTGAATGAAGGTGCACACTACTGTTTTATTATTGGTTACATTAAAACCCAGAGTTCTCGAGATTAAGTAGAAACAACACCTGCAACGACAGATGCAGTTGGCGATTCCTCAAGGACGTAATGCCATTAGACGGCGTAAACCTAAAATGTCTTTACTAGAAACTGGTGTCTATGGACTGCAACAAACCAGACAAGTTTTAGTCACAACGGATCTCACGTTAAAGATGGAAAAAGCCTGGAATACTGCTTTTCGCCGAGATCGGAAACCAAACAACGAAAGCTAAGGTGAGCTGTTAGCATCGTTAGCACCTTTCCGGCTAGTGTTTTTATTCATTACTTCAAGCTTAACAGTGGGTAAAAACAGTTCTCCCTTAAGTTCTTCTTTGTATGGCTGACTGCGTACCAGACAGCTCTTTGCTGCCCCTCACTGGTTATGATGATTATTGCATTATTAACCAGTCCAGTGTACATCTATGTTCTTTTTCAGCTAATTTTCAGTGCATTCCTTTGTCCCCCATTGGACAATTAGACACCCCTACACTGTACACTATTTAGAGAACAGTGTGGACATTCGGACCCAGCCTGTGTGTGTATGTGTGTGCGTGTATGTGTGCGTGTCTGTGTGTGTACGTGCTGTAAATGTGCAAGTTTCTACTGCCACTTCATCAGCTTGGAGCCATGAGGTAAATCCAAAACGCCGTGTTCAGTTCCCGTGGAGGGGTAAGAGTCCGGGGCAGACCATCGACGCTTACGTGGACGAGACTGCCCCCTGCTGTCTGTCTGTGAGGTGACTGCAGAGCGCGGAGTGGCCGGGACGCTGGGAGGGGGGTTGTGTTGGTGTTGGTGGTGGTGGTGATGGGGCAGGGGTGGGGGCGGAGGCGGCGGCGGCATCTCCTCTCTGTGCTGTGTTCTGGAGGAGCGGTGAGGCCTGGGACGCGCCCGCGGGGTGAGGGTGGGGGTGAGGGCCAGACACACGTCCCCCTCGGCGAGCTGGCGGCAGGGCAGGCTGTAGAGCTGCAGGGTTTTCAGGGGGCAGCAAGAAGACCAGCCCCTGTCCCGCACGAAGAAGGGGTACTCCACCAGGACCTTCAGTAACTCCTGAACGACACAATGACACGGATTAAACCAATACGTTTATGAAGATGCATGACGTGGATTAGAAAATTATGTCATGGTTTTGACTTGTGTTATTTTAACCTGGTTTTATTTTGATATACAGTGCCTTGCGAAAGTATTTGGCCCCCTTGAACCTTTCAACATTTCAGGCTTCAAACATAAAGATATACATTTTTTATTTTTTTGTCAAGAATCAACAACAAGTGGGACACAATCGTGAAGTGGAACGAAATTTATTGGATAATTTAAACTTTTTTAACAAATAAAAAACTGAAAAGTGGGGTGTGCAATATTATTCGGCCCCCTTGCGCTAATACTTTGTAGCGCCACCTTTTGCTGCAATTACAGCTGCAAGTTGCTTGGGGTATGTCTCTATCAGTTTTGCGCATCGAGAGACTGGGATTCTTTCCCATTCTTCCTTGCAAAACAGCTCGAGCTCAGTGAGGTTGGATGGAGAGCGTTTGTGAACAGCAGTCTTCAGCTCTTTCCACAGATTCTCGATTGGATTCAGGTCTGGACTTTGACTTGGCCATTCTAACACCTGGATACGTCTATTTGTGAACCATTCCATTGTAGATTTAGCTTTATGTTTTGGATCATTGTCCTGTTGGAAGATAAATCTCCGTCCCAGTCTCAAGTCTTTTGCAGACTCCAACAGGTTTTCCTCCAGAATGGTCCTGTATTTGGCTCCATCCGTCTTCCCATCAATGTTATCCATCTTCCCTGTCCCTGCTGAAGAAAAGCAGGCCCAAAGCATGATGCTGCCACCACCATGTTTGACAGTGGGGATGGTGTGTTCAGGGTGATGAGCTGTGTTGCTTTTACGCCAAACATATCGTTTTGCATTGTGGCCAAAAAGTTTGATTTTGGTTTCATCTGACCAGAGCACCTTCTTCCACATGTTTGGTGTGTCTCCCAGGTGGCTTGTGGTAAACTTTAAATGAGACTTTTCAGTGTTTTATTTGTTAAAAAAGTTTAAATTATCCAATAAATTTTGTTCCACTTCACGATTGTGTCCCACTTGTTGTTGATTCATGACAAAAAATTAAAATTGTATATCTTTATGTTTGAAGCCTGAAATGTGGCGAAATGTTGAAAGGTTCAAGGGGGCCGAATACTTTCGCAAGGCACTGTATATATTTGTTTTCTTCAGTTTGAGACATACTTCCTTGTTGTCGCCACGTCATGTTACTGGTTTTGGTTTTTACACATGGATTTCTTTTTTGTGGCATTTATTGAATTATGTAATTTTGCAGTTCTGCTTTTGGGTTCTTTCTTGTTTATCCATGACAAATGACTGGAAAAACCCGAACCAGGTTGTTAAGATCCTGCTGAACTCTCAAGATGGCTGCACCATTGAAAGTTCGCTTGTTGGTTCGGTGACTGTGGTTTCGGTGACATCACAGAAGAGAGAGCTCTAAACAAGGTGCTCCGCTGTGCAAAGAGGAATGTGAGCTGTGAGCTGCCTGTTCTGGAGGTTCTTTATGAATCCAGATTCTTAAAATAATCAATTACTCTTCTGACCTCTACTGGAAAAGCAATGTTCAAGCTTCTTCCCTCTGGCAGAAGATATCGTTCGCTGAGATTCAGGACATCTCGTTTTGCTAATAGCTTCTTCCCACAAGCTGTTATCAGTTTAAACAAGACACTTTAATGATTTTGCCTTTGTATTGAAACTGATTTAGTTGATCAATTAAGTTGACAATTGTTTCCGGCCCTTTTTTTTTTAAAGCTTGTTTTATTTATGTACTTGTCTTGTGCACACTGGGGACTTTTGCACATGTGATCCAATGTGGTTTTACTGCAAATGGCAAATAAAATGATTATGAATCTGGATGGTAGAATGAAAACTTGGGATATCTTTTAGAGCCTGTTGATACAATAGGTTGTGATCCAAAAAACACAAGTAAATCAACTTCAATAGAACAGAATACATGATTTGGATGAGGCCATGACTTGAGAACCTCACAGAGATGCTGCCCCATCTGAACTGCAGCAGTTTTGACACAATTTGATATGATATACTGTAATTCCAAAACATTCAATATAGATTAGGAAAAACTTTTGGGCCCTTTTCTAACGCTCCGCTCCACAAATAAATTGATGCAGTTATATTTAATTTAATGAAATTAATGTTTTTATAAATGTCAAACTATCAAACAAATGACATTAAAAAAAGGAGAATATAGATTTTTTGGGGAAAAAGTTGATAATCCCCCCCCCAAAAACATAACACGGCGTGACGACAGTTGAACTGTGCTCCTGGACAGAAGAGGGACATGGTATGTACTTATCTTTCATGTTTTGTCTTCTTCCATAAAAGAACAATGACAACAGTATACAGTAAATCATTGTGTGGCACAAGATTTAGATGCAACTGCTCACTCCTGAGAGAACACTTCACTTTTCACTTTTGTCTTCATTTCTGTTCCCAGAATAGAATAGACAAGTGTTTCTAAAACCCAAGCTCCCACTGGACCAACACTCTGCATTTCTGTCATTTTTACTCTCTTTTTCACATTTTCATCCTTCTTTCGGTTAAAGCCGAACAATGTTAATTTTTAAAGTATTAACACAGTAAGTATCATTCATCAATAATATGTTTAAAAAAGTCCCTCCCTTCAGCATAACTACCATTTAAAATGATGGAAAATAGTTACACCTTTGATGAAGAGCATGTCAGTCGCCTGTCGATCAAGGATTTGAATTAATTTAGCCCAATCAGGAAGTGGAGGGAGTGAGAAAGGGCGGATCTAAGTGCTTAGGTTTGAAGTTTCTCTCTCTGACATAGTTTAATCTGAAATTAAAGAAGCACGGGAACTTTTGCAATTATTTTTTATTTATTTATTTGAACAGTATTGATACTGCTCAAAAGGAGTGGGCTGAAGCAAAAGGCTTGTGAGCACCACACCAACTTCCAAATGTTGTTTTGCGACGAATGTTCCACAGTATTTCATTAAACTAGAGAAGACTAAAAGCGGATAGTGGACCTCATTTTAAAAGTTTCATTGAAAATAATTTGGTCTGAAAAGGTCCATGTTCCATGTGGCGTCTGTATTAAACAGCATGTGAAGGTTCAGAGAAGCCGAGTGACTGACCTGAGTGTTGCGGTCGGTGAGGTGCACCTGCAGGTGGCTGAAGCCGTGGCTGCTGCTGGGGGAGATGAGCAGGACCTTACAGGTGCTGAGGTGCAGGTCTGAGGAGGTGTCTGCGCTCCTCAGGAAGTCCTCTGTCCTCAGCTCCTCCACGCGCTTCAGCCGCCCTCCGGCCAGCTCGATCAAGGATCCCTTGGTGAAGTGAGGTAGGAGTGCAGGGGGCGATGAGTGCGTGCGGTCCGGAGAATCCCTCGCTCTGATCCGGTCCCGTCTCCGCTCTGGCTCACTGTCCCTGTGTTGGTCTTTGTGGTGTGCTAAGTGCTTTTCTTTGTCCTTGCTTCTGTCTCTGTCCTTTTCGTGCTCTCGCTCTCTTTGGGGCCGGTCGTGGTTATTGGACACACCCAGAGGCGAGTGGGGGGTGCTCCGGACTGCATGTGGCCTGGACCCTGTGTCCCTGTGCAGGTTGTACAGAGGGGTTCCTGAGGGACTGTAGAGAGGATAGTTTGGAGACATTCCTAAAGAGTAATACACCTGTGCTTCTGATATGGCCACCCCCAAGGGGTCCAACACATCTCCCCTCCCGCCACGGGCGTCTGGTCCCAGAGGAGAGAGCAGAGTGGAGCTGTTCTTCACTGTGTGTGCGTGTCTGTCCTGCAGGGAGGAATGTGGCTCTTCCTGAGCGGGCAGCTCTGACAGGAACAGCCCTCCAGACGGACACAGAGAGGACAGACTGTCCTGCTGTCTGCGCGCTCCGTTGGCATGAGTGCTGTGTGGACTGATGTCCAGCCGGCTGCTCTCATTCCCATATTCTCCCAGCAGAGGCTTGGAGGAGGAGGCAGTCCTGCTGCCAGGGCCCTCCAGACCATTGTGCCTCTTCCCAGCGTAGCGGTGTCTGGGGTCTGACAGAGGCGGGTCCTGGGGGTACAGAGAGGGGTGTCCGAACAGGTACGTGGAGGGAAAGAGAGAGGAGCTGTAGTCCCGGCGCCCACTGTTCATGTAGGACCACATCTCCCTGGAGTCTGCGGGGTAGGGGGCTTTGAATGAGGAGCTGGAGGAGGAGGAGGGAGGAGGGGGCAGAGAGAGGAGGCCGTCCCCCCTGTGCCAGCGCGAGTGGTGAGGTATAGGTGAGGTCAGGGGGTCATCCCTCCAGGCCGGAGAGCCTGCCCCCCTCCTCTCCACCTGCCCTGGGAACAGGGGCAGCGACACCGAGGGAGAGTAGCCCAGGTGCCATGGCAGGGGCAGGGGCAGGCTGGGGGCTGGCACGGGCAGAGGGGGAGGGGTGTGCAAGAGGTGGCTGTTGGGGTTACTCAGCACCCCCTCCCCCCTCCCTGTGCTGGGCCTAACCCGCAGTGGCACAGGGGGTTTGAACTCATCCAGGGGCAGATCTGTGGAGCCCTGTCGAGACTCCCTCTTCTTGGGAGGGAGGCACTCTTTGCCGCGGTCAGGACTGGGATTCATGGATGGACTCCAGCGGCGGTGGAGGGGCCCCCTGGGAGTGGGTGTGGCTAGGTCACATGAGCCTCACGGGAGAAGCGCGGGCGGCGATAGAGGAGCATCCCTGTCAGATCACTGCGGAGCCTTTGGCACTGAAGCCTCACTGCCCTGCAACAGACACACATTTCAGACTCTCTTCAGACACACAGCAGACCCCAACCAGCTCCACCTCAGACCCAGCAGCAGACCCCAGCAGCAGCAAACCCCAGCCTCGCCACAACTGTTGCTCATTAGTCATTACCAGCAACCCCCCCCCCCTCCCCCTTCCCCCCTGTTGCAATCCTGAAACGACCCATCTTACTCGCTCATTCAAACACATTACTCCCACGACCGGACTAAAAATATGATCAGCAGCCAGAGAAGTTCAGAGCCAGTCCTGCGTTTGAGCGTAGAACACTCTCAGCAGGAGTGTTTTCATCTATGGCTCTCGGGGATGATTGGAATATGTAGATATCTTTTTGCAGCACTTTCATGAACCACCCCCTCGACACTGCCTCTTCAAGCTCCTGTAAGACTACTACAAGCACCCTGGTTTCCCTCACACACAACATGAAACTCTGCTTTGGGCGACTGCTCCCTAGATCTGAGACTACACCAGCATTATTCATGTTATTAGAGAGGGAAGAGGAGTAATGAGCTTTGCCATAGTGCTTATCTGTCCCAGCAGGACGGTGGAACACATCTATGCATGTCATTATGTCGTAATTTTGTTTATTTGTTTGTGTTGCTCAAAGTGTCAAAGATTTTGCAGCCTCGTTTCATTCAGCGAGAAACGCGGGGGAGAGCCGGCGCGCATTCTTCCAACGTTTTAGCCAAACCGGCTCAGCCAAAAAAAATTGTTTTAATGATAAGTGAGGCTTGAGATGGTACGTAACCTGCCCAGCTGTTCTGAGACTGGAAAAACAAAACCACAAAAAAACAAAAAGGCCACCAAAACGGCGTCATCATAATCATCATCGCCACGGCACCCGCCAACAAGTAACCATCTCGCCACCCGCCGCCCGGTCGCTATGGCAACAGCTTCCCCCCCACGCACACGCGCACGCACGCATCCAGCCGGTTATGTGAGGTTAGACGGGGATACACCAGAGAAGATGGAAGCAGAGGAATGAGGGAGAATACAGAGAGAGAGAGACAGAGAAGAAGAAGAAGAAGAAGGAGAGGGGTGGGCTGAAGAAAACAAGAAAACTGTTGCTCATCAAGCGATTTGGAACAAGCGCGAGGAAGGAAGTCGTTGGTGCATCTGTGTGGAAAAGCTGCAAACTGGTATGGCAGAGAGAAGAGTGGGAGAGGGTGTGGAAAAACAAAAAAGTGGCCGGACCGACAGAGAGCGACGTGGGAAAGGCACTCGGTTTGGCTCCGGCGCCCAATGACAATCGCAAGGTCAAAAAGTACTATCGAAGGCGCTAGGATCAAACTCTACTCATGTGAAATTCAATTGTGCAAAGAAAAGGATCTCAGAATGGACAAAAAGTCGAGAAATATTTGGGATGTTTTTATACTTTTTGCGCTGTGTTAAAATTGTTATGCTTTGATAGAGATGCAAGCCTACATTTTTTATTTTTTTAAATTATATACTTAAACATAATTAGGTAAACTTGGCTTCTTGTCATTCCGTAGAGAAGCCAAAAAAGAAAACAAAATATCGTTCAAAAGTCCTTTTACTTTTGTCTTTGATCTTACAATGTGCGACTATCGTATGACACAGACTAAGAACTGGGTTGCACTGAAACTAGTATTGAAACTAGATACGTAAATGAGCAAGTATCAATACTAGAATATTGTTTAAAAGTTCCTTAATTTCCGTAATTCATCTTAAAATGTGAAACTAATAAATGATAAAATACACCTGCAAAGTGACATGTGCCAAGTTTTTGTTTGTTTCAATGTTGATAATTATGGATCACAGCTGTAAAGAAACCCACAAATAAAACTAGAATAGAAATAAAAAAATAAATTTTAATATTTTGGACAGTAAGCCACAATCATAACATTATAATTAAAACTTTGCATTTGTCACTTTGCAGGTGTCACATTTTAAATTTAATGAATAAATGAAGAAAATAATGAACTTCTGAATAATATTCTGATTTTCAAAGCTACACCTATTATATAAATAATGATGTAAGTTATGTCAAGGTAAAGTCAAATTTAGTGAATTGAAAACAAGGATTAGATTTTAAAATTCTCCTTTTTGGACAATAATAAGTCATCTATAACACAAAATAATTCTTATAGTAGCTTTACAGTAGCTCTGTTTTGGATCAAAAACATATTATAAAAATGCTCACAAATTTGTATTATTTTCAGTTTTGAATACTCAAATAAGTATCTAGTTTCAATACTAGTTTTGGAATCTTTTGACAATCTAGTTCTTAGTAATATAAAAACACAATTTGGTATTATGTAATATTCTTTCTGCGCTGATTTCAATGTTTGTGACTGTTTTTAGCCATATACTGTT